TACCAATCTTCCCTCATCGTGAGGAGAACAAGAAACCTACGGGAAATATCTTGTATCGTAGCTACAAAAGAAGTATAGAATGGGAGGTATTCATCGAGCTCCTCAGGTGTAGCCCATGGAATGAGTGTGTAGAGGTGCGTGTTACAATTCCGTAAGGTTTGATCAACCCTACTTAACTTGATGTGCTCTAGTACCTGCTTAACCAGTACTTTACCTAACGTGTAAGTATTGATGACAAAACACAAATCAAAAGAACTGATAAGCAATGTATTTGAAGGAGCTATGTATTTAATTAAAGTAAATGTAATAATAATGAATGGGGGAAAAGTTTAATCAACTTATCTGGCTTGTAAGGCTGAACTGGGGACTCGGAGTGCGTGCATGGTAATCAGCACAATGGAGCACAAAATGGCGTCTAAGCCTGCTCGGATGCATGCTCATTAAAACAAAACTTAAAACACCCTAAGCATCCGGAAGCAAGCTAGAGATTTATTTAGTTAATTTAATTTAAACTATTTATTTTAGTCGTAGTTATATTTTGGTGCCAGGAAGGTGCACTACAAGTGCTTCATAACAGCCCTGATAAACAGAGTCACTTTCGTTTTTCCACAGAAATATAATGCTCTGTTCAGACGTCGTTCCTCCTATGAGAGTGGTTGAGGTGAAGAAGAATGAGGACCAATGCATCCCTCTAGTACTTCGTAACGAATTAAGGGAACTATCTGTGCTACACCATACCTCTGAAGACTTTCTGGTGTTGCATTCAATCTGCGATACTTATCACAAAATTCAGTCCTAGAACACTTAACCCAACCACTTTTACACTGCTTATTACTGGTTCATGAGCCAGCTTGGATTTTATTGTCGAGAGTATCACAGAGGCTGTCATGAACTTGTGACTATCAGCAGGTACGGAAATAGACAACCTAAACTCAACTGTCATCAGAAACAGTGTTGACGATATGTCTCTGTTCTTGCTTGAGATATTCACCCTATCAATGGAAAGTGGCATATACCCCGCTGAATGGAAAACCAGCTACATAACGCCCCACTACAAGTCCAGGGACAAATCGAACGTCAATAATTACAGACCCATCAACAAAACACCGGTCCTCTCTAGAAATAAGGAAAAAGTAATCAAGAACAGCGTCTTCGATCAACTATTAACAGAAAACCTAGTCACGAAGTCTCAGCATGGTTTCACAAAGAATAGGGTTCCTGCGTTACTTGCCACTTTCATTTCCTCAACTTCATCACTAGTAACCGTGAGGCACGTGAAATCTTCATTGCTCCCTGCTTTGATATATCAAAAGCATTTGATAGGGTGTCTCATACTCTTTATTAAGCTACAAACAATTGCCTTTCGCGACCCGTTACTTGGTCGGATAAGATCATTTCCTTGCGACCGTGCCCACATCGTGAAAGCAAACTCCGTGTGGTTTGAACCTAAACATGCAACTAGCGGAGTTATACAAGGTAGGGTCCTTGGGCCTTTGTTGTTCATAATCTATATCAACAGTGTGTATAACTGCTTAAGTGAAGGCAAAACATTCCTCTACGTCGATGACTTGAAGGTTGTGTACACTTGTCACTCTCATGAACTACGTGATGCTCCGGATACTGCCCGACAGGAACTAGGTAAACTTGCATCATGGTGTGCTGAGTCGCACCTTGAATTCAATAATGACAAATGTGGTTGGCTTACCATAGATAACAACAATCATGACCTGACCCTTAAGGTATGCGGGAAGTGGCTACCTAGACGGTCTTCTGTGCTAGATCTTGGCATGAATTATACAGTTCTGGAATCATCAATGAAGTACAAGAAGTAAATAATTTGTGCATACATTCACTCATACACGTTTCATCACTATCTCAAGCAAAAAGTATAAGTTGTTACAAGGGAAGTATTAGCCTCAGGCTTTATTTTTCTCCAGGTAGTACATGTAATGTCTAGATACAAACCTGGTCTTTTTTGTTAATGCGAAGACATGACTGAAGGAATCGATGGAGTAGAGTAATAATTGACAGATACTGACTGCTTGATGAAAATTCAAACTTTATAGTGGTATACTTTTATAGGTGGGAGAAAACAAATAAATTAGCATCTGCATCTATAGAATCCAAGCACAAGATCTCTCACTCGCCAATTATGTGATCAGACTGCCTCAGATAGTTAAGTCATTGACCTTGTTACCTATTGTTGCTTAACACGTAACCAATCTTTTAGAAATCAGTGTGCACCAGCACAAATCTAATCACTTGCTTACTTACGTGTAGATACTGATAGTGGAGTACAAATAAGAGAAGGTATCGAGTGGTAAAGGCACTCAGAAGGGAAGTTTATTTATCAGTCAGAGATGGGAAGGTTATTGTAAGAGAGATGGTTGAAACTTATCTGTCTATGCATGACTGAACTGTGGACTGTGAGTATGCAGCTGTTGACCAGCATAAAGAAGACACAAAGTGGTGAGTGCCAACAGGTGGATACCTATATGTCAAGACGAAACTTATGAGACTATAAGAGATTATTTATTTAGCATTGAGTCATTTTAAATATTGATTTATTTATTTGTGTTGAATATAGCAGTATTTGTTGCTGAGACGGTGTAATACAACCATTGAGCGTTCAACATTAATGTTAGAGAAGTCACTTGGTGTGAGTTTTCTTAGGTTTATTCTGAGGAAACTTAATCGGTACATCGCCAATTACCTATACTACTAAGAGGTGGTTTTGTGAGTAATGAAAGATGCAGTATTGAAAGATGAAGTAGTCAAACAGAACTGAATCTAAGTTGGATAACGAAGTAAAGATGGGTCATCACTAGATGAACTTTAAGAAATGCTGATCATCAGGAGAGCGTTGAATAATGTCATATGGGAACAAAAAGTCGATTTGCTGCAACGAACAACGAAAACAAGTTTACTACAAGAGATGTTTTTCAGAGGATTTCACTTTTCGAATGAGCTTAGGTATCAAGAATATCCAAACAGCTGCTGGAGTATTTCCAAAGTAGTTTACAATCACTGGATGTGTTGAAATGTTTCCACTGTACCTGGAACACTCTAATCTAATACTTGTTAGGCTTTTTCGCTTCGATACCTAGAAGATCTTGAATGAAAGATACGTTGCTTCTGGACATTGGATGACTTTGGAAACAATGTTTTAAGAGGTTCGATGTAGCAAATAGAAGTACTATCAGGTGGATCGAAACTTTAACCACTTCCCTGCTTATCCATTAATTTCATAAGTTTTTCCGTGGCTACAACGTGTTCTTTCTTATTATATGCGAAACTTGGGAAATAATTCTCCAAAGCAATCGCTCATTTCACTTGTTTATCTAGTATCATTCATTCTCTTGTGCTGTCACAGCATAAACTAATAAACATTGATGAGAGTTACATAGCCTTATTTGCCCGACTTTTTATTTGGATATGTTACGAAGTTTTCAAAAGGCCTTGATTAGTCCTGAAAATGTCTACAATTGGTGTTCTACAAGATTAGATAGGTCACTATAATGTGACTGGTGGTGATTCACTCTATGACTTTGTTTGATCTCATAATCACGAATTTACTGTTAGTTGAGACATGCTTTGGTGTTTAAAATAAATGAACAGTAAGTAGTATAGGTGAGACTGCTTATGAATAGAAGACGCTTATTGATGTGAGACGTTAGGTCGTCGAGTGATTTTGTATGACAATGCATTCATTATATTGCCATGATATGCTTTTAATGAGATAGAGTACCTGCATGTAAACATATTTTTGTTTGTTGTTATTTTCGACTTTATAAGTTCTGAGGTCTATTTCCCTTTACATACGTCCATTAAATCTGTGATTACTAAATTGTTTGAAAAAAGCATGCTAACTTTATTCAAAGATCTCTCGAAACCTTCTGTAGGCGACGACTTTTAGAAAGCCGTACACTGTACGAAATCAGTCAAACGAAATGAACTGCAATGACTGGATCTAACATTTATAATGGTTGTTAGTGGAAATTTATTGAAGGTAGTTTGCTAGACGGAAATATATCGACTGTGTAGAACACTCACAACTTTGAAGCAATTGTATTGCTTATTCCTCTGACTTCCTGACTGCATACAATATCTAATCGGGTTATTATGATGAACTTGCTACGACTGGACTACTGTGGTGCAGTTGACGGATGGATATACACCTTCCTCAGTTTTCCATATGTTACAACTATTATCTTTAGATTCATTATTTGAAGACAAATCAATAAATCGAAAGTTATTCTCATATTTTACTGTGTACATAATGTAAAGATGTATGTCTCATTATTTTAGTGTGAAACTCTTACTTTTAGATTGAATTCAACCTAGAAGGGTAGCACACGTTCAGAAATGATGCTAGAGGGCGATTGATATACACCACAGGTTGACTAAAGTTCAGCGATTTGCACTGTGCCATCTAAATCTAATTGCAAATCAGTGATTTTATTTGCACCATGAAGTATGTATAGGTTGCCTCCTATGTCTAGTCCACAGTGTTTTTCTGGCTTATCGAATTGGATGAAACAAGTCACGACTGAAGTGTAATTTTTTATTTAGCGGTCATATATGTACGATGTTAATTTGCTATAGGTGTGTTTTCTTCAAACACTACATCATGTGCAATCTTCATGAATTTAAAACTAGGAGGAAACAGCTATCGAGAACTTGATAGCCTTATAATTATTGAATACGATTTGACGTTTGTTATCTAGACGTGAGTATTTCATCATCGAACTAGGTGACTTTGACGGAAGTATTCATACATAATTACAGCATTTTGTGAAATAATAATTCTTGAGACCGTCTATTTAAAGATGAAGCATTGAAGTTCACAGAACATTACACATTTACCACTTCATTCTGACTCGTGTTTTCCCCAAAGAGAATTCAACAACTCACTTTGAAGGTGTACCAGTACAATTTTGCAGAGTCCTTAACAGCAACTTTCTTTGTGTAAGTGAAACATATCAATGTTTTCTTTGTGAATGATGAGTGAACTATATAAGAGTTTCTTGTTTTTTCTATTCACAAATTTAGATTCAAAACTGTGTTCAATCAGTTTACTTCCATCTGAACAAAATAATGTTCCTTATTTCATCAGTGGTAGTGTTTTAGATCAAGAGAAAGGATATGGCTATCTCACATTTAATGAATCATTGTATCATGAAGCTGAGGCTTCTGGCAACTTAGAAGCCAGAATAGGATTTTATCACCTAAAAATATTAGGTGAAGATTGTTCTCATCCTCCCAAATACACAATTTCATGGCCAATCACATTTGAAGTGAGTTATTTTACAGACTGACTTCAGTAGTTATCGTACCATTATACTTTGGATAATCAGAGGTAAATTATTCTGAAAATTCTTTCCATGTACACTAAAAGGATGTTGGACACATATGTTAATGTAATACTGTTGTAATAATTTCGTGTTGAAATGATTCACTGGTTCAGGTAACTACTGACGTATTGAGAATACACTGCAGGACATCTTTATTGCTGTTATATGCTTTGTTTCAAATGACGTCAATCCATAAATCTGAGACTTCATCTTTCCTGAGATTATTTTGAAACATTAGCTACAACCTTAAGGAAATTTTCGCTGATTAGCAGACTGAAGTCAGTAACATTAACACTGAGTTGTTTGGATTGCACATTACTCTGTTACACAATGGATGACAAAGTTCAATTGCTTAGTAACTAATAGCCACTCGAGTACTATACTATTGACTATTGAATGAAGTTCTGTGTTGGTTTCAATTACTAACGGATATTCAACAGGGTTAGTTGTAGAAGAATAAGGCAGTCTCCATTGTTAAACGCCGTAATCTTTGTTTCAGTTGTCATGTATCGTGGGAAAAACCGAATCCGTCAAACCTGTTTGATTCTTCTGAAGTTAATCAGCAGAAAAAACTGATGTCTTAGCCGATATAAACGAAATTAGTGAAACCAAGACTCAGAGTAGATCGACTGGAAGGCGTTAACACTGTGAACTAGACTAGTGAGTTGTGATTACCAAAACGAGCTTTCCATCTGGTACATTTCGAAATATATACAGTAACCTTGATCGAAACTGCAGACACCGATGGCTACTGGGAAGGCAACTAACTTGTATTACCTTCAAAATGTGACAGATTCATTTTCAATGTTCTGTTTCCATCAGTTGTTTTGCGTTTGTGTATGGAAAGACTTTCATTCGCGACCAAAATGCTCTTGCAGGTGATGTAATAAACTCCCGTGTTATTGCTTCACTGAATATCGGAAGCGTTAGACATAAAGACTTTTGAAAATAATCAGAAAATTAAATGATATCATATGGCTGCATATGTGAATTTTGTTGTTTCAAATGTCTTATGATTTCTCTGAAAAATTCATACATACGTTTTTAATGAATACGACAAAATTCGAATTTTCTGCATCCGAAGATCTCCCTTACTACTCATTTGTATAAAGGTATTATGAAAGCATTTACATCGTACTCTTGCCTTATCCACTTAACTGAGCAACTGAGATACGCTCTCTGACTGACAGAATTCTCTCAGCAACAGAAATGTTTCAGTTCAATGTGCCTACTATTCGTCAAGAATTTTATTGTAGAGTCAAAAGACATACTACTGAACAGCATGAGTAGTTACAAACTAATTATGCTGATTCTTAGATATGTTTGGAAAATTACTCATAAGTCTCATTGTTGGTTTTGACGTTACTCGAAGCTAAGTAATATATCAACTACTCAACTGTGGCTTCGTTGGAATTCATCCAGTCAGTTGGTTTATGGCACCTTAGTGTTGAAGATCCCGCTCTATAATCTTGGCTGGTTGGTTACTGATGGGAACCTGGATTGACATTGTAATTAGACGGAAGAGAAATTACTCACTTATGAAAATGTCAACGTGAACCATTCAATTTGTAAATAAATTATGGATCAATATTTCTATTTGAGTGTCAAAGACACTTCTTATTCCGCTATCAGTAGTGATCATTGGAAGAAGAGGATAAGTATATAACCCTTTTATTTGAACCGTCCAACTTTGCATCTCCTTCAAACTCTCATCTTTTGAATATCACTTGCATTATTATGCATAGCACATTCGATCCGATTTACCAATCTGGTCTAGAAGGAGATATGAATTCAACATAGACTCACTGCATCCACCCGGTTATGAAATTGGTAAAGTGACTGCTTATTCATCAACAATCAATGTAACTGATGGTAATCCACCTATTGGTGATGATACAGGAATGTGCGTTTATACAATTCAAGATGCCAGTCATTCATTTGCAATCAATGGACATGGTAAGGTGTACAAAGTGCTGGTTCAAGTTATTTGACAATATGTTTTGCTTTTGTAAAAATTATTATTTACTGTGTTGTTGTTGTGAATAGTGTGCTGGAGAAGGAAACAGTAAGTGTTGCAGTTGTTATAATATCAGGTATGGTATATGCAATAGTTAACGAAACTTAAGGCTGACGGAGAAGTTGTTGTAGAGACTATCGATGAAGACAGGAAGTTGCTTAATAGTCTATGATCTAAAACAAGACTGTATTAATCAAAGTTATCACCACTTGCATTGAAAATTCTATTTATCATTTAAGAAGCAGAAAAGTGAAACAGCTGGAAATAACAATGTCAGGAATGGCTGGAATAGGTTCTTGGCTATTTCACATAGAGTCTTCAATGCTCAATTTCAGTTATCTTGAACGGTCAAGTTCGCATTCGAAATTTGGCTTAACGGCTGAGACCAATAGTCATAGACTTCATAAACCGCCAAACTTTATCCTGATAGGTAAACAGAAATTGATATTTTTATCAGGTGTTTTAGTCAATGTTCATGATTCCAAAAAGACGCGACCAGTATTATTCATGTTATTAACAATTTATTCATCTCTCAATTGCTTGTGCATTGATCACAAATCAATTTCACAAGCATGACACATATACCTGTTCATTGTGATGGAGAACGATTGTTTGTGGGCGAGAATTGTGGCAAGTGGACTCTTAACCTAGCGAGGGACGTTCTGATCATCATGCAAACACGGAAAAGGTTTCAGCAGAGTTTGTTCCCTTTTATCAATGTGCAAGTGAGTTGTTAGCTGGAGTTCACAGTTTCTGTATTATACCTCACACTGAAGAACACTGTGCTTAATGTGTGTTTTCCTGATATACAGCTTTTGAGTGATGGAACATTTCTAATTGGTTGGATGTGAGCTTGGCACCTGGATTGTTGCGTCCTCAGGATGATTTATAAATTGGGGAGGGGGGCAGACTGGAGTGGGTACAACTTACCGGTCCCTTGAGTTAGATAGATATATGTGGTAGTAGTTAGTTGGAAATGTCAAGTATTAAACGAAAGCATCTTTTCAAATGTAGAACACATCTCTCACTTCCGGCACACATTCGAATAACCTCAAACTCTAGGATGTAACATCCCCTCCTAGCAGTCATTGTTTCCCTCCGAAAAATACCTGCCTCCACTTACTGAATGATTATGCAGTTCACGGAAAAACGTCAAGCATCACTCATTTCAAGTGTACTCCATCTATTCTCATCATTGTGATTTTCGTAAGTCGCCTCTGTATTTCCTTCACCACTCAGATGTTATCCTTCACGAAACTGCTTATCTTGAACACAACATATTTTCGAAAATTCCAGATTGTTTTCCTATCTTTGCACACTAACTACTTCCATCTTCATTCAACTGTGTGTAACTCACAAAGTGTGCCGAAGGCTTACCACTTTCGTTTACTGCAAACGAACTACTCACTGACTGAATATGAATTGAGTAATTTGTGTGTCGGATAATGCTACTCATAACTACTTCATCAAAACTACAAAGAATGATATCTTGAAGAATCAAAGTGTTTGAGAATCTGTGTATTGGCTTTCGAATATTATCTGTCGATGACGTCGGCTCAACAAGTCTAGAAACACATAGTTCTGATGGGCATTCGTGGGTTTCAGTCATGCATGTTGATGGATATGACCAACGAAATATCGCTTCTTCATCAGAATACATGGACCACTCTCCTCTGTGTACCAAGCACTTCACCATAGTCAGCAGCAACATGTATCAGAAATACAGATATCATCTGCTACCTATTCGTCGAATGACGAGTGTTGTTATACTCATATGGGAGCTGTCTAACTCATGTCAAATTGAACAGTCGTAGTGATGATTTACATGTGAAGGATGAGACAGAAATGATCGACATGCACCCTTCGCTTATTCATCCTCATATAGCTATTGGGCATACACAAGCATGTACACACAAATACACGCACACTCGAAATATCGGGTAACCCATCCTTCAGTCATTCGTTTATTTTGCGGATGCATGCTTCTTCCACATTTACTAACTTCATTGTGTTTCAGCTTATTCGGATTTCTTCTTTCTGCAAATCAATTTCGCTCCAAGTTCACAAGTCTGTGGGGTGGTGAGTGACTATCAGTGATATAATATTGTGTGTTGTCAAACGAGTAGACACCTCTCTCAGTCCCCGATAACTTGCATAGAACCGAAGAATTTTGGTCAATGATTTTATTGGCTCACATATTCAGTAGAAACACATGTGTACTCAGTCGTCGCTGTTGTTCGTGACTAAGAACAAGACGTGTGTCAGTGAAGAAATATTTCTTTTCAACTACTTCATTATCAAGCTGAACAGTCGTATTTATACTCGGTAAAATGACAGATAATCACGCTAAAAGGTTGCTCAGTCAATATGCGAAATATACAATAGGTGTAGGTGTTTGTTTGAATGGAAGAAATAGAAAAAGAGTCACTAAATAGGGAAGAGTTAAATTCAACGTTCCACTTTCTAGACGCAACGTTAAACAGAAGGATGATGGCTCGATTCAAAGGTCAGTCTATCGAAAACCAACCTGGAATGGCCAGTTCACCAACTTTAATAGTTGAGTACCTCTTAGTTGTAAAAGAAATCTCATTCACTCACTGTGTTCCAGAATCTATGAAATATGTTCTATAGACACGGTGGATGCTGAAATCAAAACTCTTAGAACAATACTATCTAGAAATGGATACCCTAAACAATTTATTGACAAGAATCTGAAAAAATGAATCAGTCCCCAGCCCATTACAGTCCCTAAGAAAATTTTAACAATGAATCTAGAATTCAAAGGAGACACCACAGCCGAAGTGCTGTAAAGCCATCTGTCAAGGTGTATCAATAGTAGCTTCTATGCTGCTACACTGAGATTGATATTCTCCAGCCGCCATCTGATTTGCCAATGCGTGAAGGATAGGCTTCCACTTATGTCCTCGTCTATGTGTATCTACAAGCTCACATGCTCCTGCGTAGCCGACTATATTGGATGTTGTAAGCGGGTCCTCCGAAAGCGTTTAGCTGAACACTACTTGGTTTGGCTTACCAGAGGCGAGCAAAGGAAAATCACTACATCCATATGTGAACACCTAGTGAAATTAGGTCATTCAGCACCTTGAGATTCATCCTTTAAAGTAACTTACAAAGTTAAATTGAACTATCCTAGAGGCTTACGTTTCCACCACTTATGCATAGCTGAAGCATCAGCTATACATAAATAAATCCGAGACTGCATTCAAGAACGTTTGTGAAACCACTTTCTCTAACTTGGACTTAACAAACCATTTTGGTTAGTCTTGCCAATTTCATTTCACTTCATCTTGGTATATTTCTCTTTTGCTATCATCATTATCACCAATTTTTCCTTTATTGACAACATCTGACCCATATTTCACTATTTAATATCAATTCGTTCCTTATTCATTGACCTATTTCGCATGTTTTAGTCAAATTATCACGGTTTTACAATTCTTTGACAGCATGTGCCTATTATCTCACCACTTATTATTAATTCGTTCCCTACTCACTGACCCATTTCTTATTTCTTCCACTCAAACAAACACCTACACCTATTGTATATTTTGCATATTGACTGAGCAACCTTTTAGCGTGATTATCTGTCATTTTACCGAGTATAAATACGACTGTTCAGCTTGATAATGAAGTAGTTGAAAAGAAATATTTCTTCACTGATACACGTCTTGTTCTTATTCGAAGAAACGGGTATACTTCATCAGTAGTTGATGAAGCTAAGTTGCTAGACTCATATGCACATGCGTCAACGAACGAATGCACTAAATTGTCCGTACACATTTACACAACTGCAAAATTGTGCAAGTATTATATCTGCATTTGCACGATGGATTATTGAAAGGGAGGGTGTAAATTATCATTCAACAGCACCGAGTCATGCAGCACGACATCCAGAATGAATAGAATCTTCTCATCAGTAATTGCAGGCCACTTTTGACAGCATTTCCGATGAATTCAACTCGATGGCTTCACCGTCGTTGGTGTACTCATAGTTTGCATCCGTTAAATGTAATCTTTTAACTTGTCACTTTGACAATCTGTTGCAGTCATAATTCACATTCCTCTCTCCTGTCTATCCTCCACAGGTTCTTCATTCTTCTGTGTACTGATCGTCTTCTCAATACTCTTCTCACATGTGAGGGGAAAACTGTGATCTATCTACTGTATAACGCTGGCTTCTAACTCACTTTTACCAGGAACATGTAGGTAATCACTCAAACTTCCTGTTGGTCAGCACTAGTTACATTTTGGATACCAGTTACTGACCTGGCTAACTTTGCTAGTGTTCCCTCCTTAGACTGCATACTGAAGTAAGTAATCGTTTGGGATCGCTGTTCCGAACAACGATACCATTGAAAGTATTGCACGAGATCACACGTAACTGCGAAAACGACTATCGGTGTCAAATGTAATTAATCATGACTTAAAACGTTGCCAATGGAGTGAGTGCTGTGCAAGAGAACACTTTTGAATTACAATTTAGACTTGTGCCGACTAATATGAATCGCACTGAACTAGCATCTAGAGGTATAAACATGGGGAATTTCTACCTCGTATATGTGCAGCCGAACGGTTTCGAATTCCTAATATCACCCGAAAACGACCTGGTACTTATCAAAGAACCTGTGCAGAGTAGTCGTTCGCTGAAAGCAGTCATGACGTGTGTCACTGACGGCTCCGAAGTACGAATAAGAAGCGGATGTGAAAACTTTGAGGAGTGCTATCACCCGATTTATTCATAGAAACTGTTCGTTAGAAGGGGTAGATGAGAAGTAAGTCAAGCATCTAGTAGATAAAGTTGTGAAGACGGTAAACTCTGGCATTTGTGTACATGCTATCAGGTAGTCATGGGAAACCATGTTAGCTTTGAGTGGTCGATGTTAGTTTTTTCCCATCTTGCTCTCACTCACCCCAAGTTATGTTCACTTTCCATCTCTTTTCCACATTTTTAAT